TTCATCTTCTGTTTTACCAACTTTTTTCACCAGCTCAAGTCCTCCTTTATCAACATCAAACCATTGAGCATCAAGTCGGTTTCTGCCTCAAAGCAAACGGTAATTGTGCAAAATAAATAGAACTTTGTAGTGAATTAATACTTAGCAAGGATGCACTAAATTGATCAAAAGTGACAGTAAAGACATTTATAATGTTACAAAAGATTTCTATTTCAAATAAACGCTGTAATGTAATTTCCTGTAAAGGATCAATAAAGTATCTAATCTAATCGAAAATCTGTTCTGTTGAATTTTCTGTTCATCAAAGAATCCTATAAACAAAATGTTTACACAAAAATATGAAGCGGTACAATTGTTTTCAACATTGATAATAATCAGAAATGTTTCTTGAGCAGCAAATCAGCATATTAGAATGATTTCTGAAGGATCATGTGACACTGAAGACTGGAGTAATGCTGAAAATACAGCTTTGATCACAGAAATAAATTACATTTTAACATATATTCTCATAAAAAACAGCTATTTTAAATTGTAATAATATTTCTGAATTTACTATATTTTTAATAAAAAAAATGGTCTTGGTGAGCAGATTCACACTCTCTCTTACTGGTCATCATCTGTCCTGATGTGCTGCAGTCGTCATGGTAATAATAATTGCATCCAATCACAGCAGCTCTCAGAGGAAAACCTCGAACACTTCCTGTCCTTGCTGACTGGAGCATGTGACATGGAAAAACAGCACTTCCTCTTCAGTGTGCACAAGAGTTTTGTGTTTACCTGCTCAATGTCTACAGATCCTCTGGCATTCAAACATTTCATGACATTTTAAAAGTGTCCAGCTAAAAACAGACACTATTAGAAATAAAACTGATACGTTTGTGTCCAGTGTCCAATCTTGATGATCTAAACAGGAATTATTTGTGAAAATGATTTTAAAATTACACACACACACACAAAATTATATGTGTGTGTGTGTGTGTGTGTGTGTGAAATATGATAGAATCATTGTAATTAACAAAAGTGAAAAATAATTTCAATATATGCGTAAAAATAATTTTTTAAATTATGCAAAACTTTTTCTTCTTACTTTCTTTATTGTAAAATATGATTTCAACAGACATGGTTTGTAAAAATTCTTTTAGAAGCATTTTTTTTATCATATAGTAAACAGAGTAGAATAATTTTAATATCTGTGTGAAAATGATTTGCAAAAAAATTATGAAATAAAAATACAATTTTATGAAATTATAAAATTAAGTCCTTCCTTCCTTCCATAACTGTGGCATTATGCTCCCAAAAAGCATCAAATTAAATAACAATAAAATAACATTAAAAATGAAACCAATAAAGTAGAGTTTGTGAATGCTAATGGACGGCTCGGCTCTCTGCAGCCGCTCGACTTCATTACACAGCTGACCTCCAGTGCCATGAGCTGCGTTTCCATGTGCTTGAGCCGTCACTGCAAAACTGATTACAACAGATTATGATCCATCGTGTACTACTGACCTCCTTTAACAGACCCTTTAGCACCTCAGCGGTGACCTTTCACTCAGCTCACATTCTGTCACATTCACATTCCGTGAGGAAGCTGCCCCTGAACGTGTCTCAGTCAGTCATGTATTCAACAGAAGCTCCCCGCAGTCACGCATGCTGTGCCAGTATTTGTGAAGGTAATTAGATGTGTTTATACAGGCCAACGGTGAAAAACAAAGGCTGGAAGTTTGACAAACATCTCATGTGACATGTTTACGGGAAGTCAAGCCAACCTTAAATCCAACAGAAATTTTTTAATCAATTATATTTTTGAATGTGCCAAATGTGACCAAGTTGGTCATGATAATTATGAAGCAAAACATGACAATAGATAATCAAAACTATTTCCATTTAAAACTTAAGTTGAATTAAGTTCTGTTTAAAAATTAAGTTAAAAATAATAATTTTGACAAAGTCAGTGTCATTCTTAGTGTGAGATAATAAATCATAACTGACATAAAAATATAAAAAAAATGTAAAGTCACAATTATGACAAAAAGTAGAAATTAGGAGATAAAAAGTATAAATTCTGACATAAAAAGCAGAAATTAGGAGACAAAGTTGAAATAATGACAAAAAGCAGACATTAGGAGATAAAACGTAGAAATTAGGACATTAAGTTATAATTATATAAAAATAAAGAATTATGACAAAAATAGATATTAGGAGATTAAAAACTAGAAATTACAAAAATTCAAAATTACGACAAGGAGGAGAAATTATGAGATAAAAAGTCATCATGACATAAAAAGTAGAAATGACATAATTATCAGATAAAAAGTCGCATAAAAAGTATAGAGATTAACAGTCAAATTATGATAGTCATTGATCAAATGTCAAAATTATGATGTAAATAGAAATTGGGAGACAAAAAGTAGAAATAGTGATAAACAGTCACAATTATGAGAGTCCTTATGAGATAAAAAAAAATAGCAATTATGAAATAAATAGAAATGAGACAAAGTTGAAATTAGGAGACAAAGATCAAATTATGACAAAAAGCAGACATTAGGAGATAAAATATAGAAATTAGGACATTAAGCTATAATTATATAAAAATGAAGAATTATGACAATAGATATTAGGAGATTAAAAATTAGAAATGACAAAAATTCAAAATTATTAGATGAAAATCATCATGACATAAAAAGAAGAAATTACATGTCATAATTATCAGATGAAAAGTCGCATAAAAAGTATAGAGATTAACAGTCAAATTATGATAGTCATTGAGATCAAACATTAAAATTATGATATAAATAGAAATTAGGAGACAAAAAGTAGACATTATGACATGTCAAATAAAAATGAGAAATAGTGATAAACAGTCACAATTATGAGAGTCCTTATGAGATAAAAAAAATAGCAATTATTAAATAAATAGAAATTCGGAGATAAAAAGTCATATGCATAGCATAAAATGTAGAAATTACGACAATTATCAGACAGAAAGTCCAATTAAAGTAGAAATAAAGTCAAATTATGATAGTCATTATGAGATAAGTCATAACTGTGTCAAAGCATAACATAATAATACATGACAATCAAGAAATATTTATTTCTATTTCTTTATTTCAACAAAACAAGAGGCTATACATACATTTAAGAAAGACTGCTTTGCAAAAACATCAAATGGCTCATAGCATCATAAACCAGACCCAGTTCAATATTAACAACAAGACCACATTTGTACAATATAAAATATCTGTAATCTCAAAATAATCTGTGAAACTCGGATAGAAAGAAAACAATTCAGTAGAAAGATAACAGTTTGGTTTCCGTGTTTGTAGTGATTAGTCAGTGTGCGCATCTCTGGTTATAACTGAGAGAAAGTGGACTGTTACAATGGTTTGTTTGACCTGCAAACATTTTTCAGTGAACACCTGAGGGACAACAAACATGACCTCACTGCGAGCCCATGAGGTTTTTCGGTATTTCAAGGGGAGTTACACTAGAAGAACGATCCTAACAGCTTTGAAAAACATGAACGTCCTGTGGATTTTGTCTTGATAAAAGAACAACTAGAAGTTCCTTAAGTGAGGAAGCCTGAAGAACGTCTCTGAAACACTGGTAGAGGAGGTATATCAGGAACTATATCGATCCGTAAAGAGATCATGTGGAAAAATGCAAAGACATCTTTAGTTTTAATAAATGCAGTCTGTCCGAGACATTACGAATAAAAGTACTGCCACTGAAAAGATGCAACGAGCAAAAGACTGAACTAAATGTGCGAGGAACGGTGAGGTAGAAACATGGAGTGTGTAAACCAAAACACTGAATAGAAATAACTTCTAACTAACAGAAGTAGTTACCTGGTACAAACGTCCAGAACACAGGAAAAATATCGACTAGCTGCTTATTTGTGACCTTACATTGATGTCAGTTCACCTAAAAATGAAAAATTGCTGGAAATGTGCTCACCCTCAGGCCATCCGAGATGTAGACGAGTTTGGATTATTGTGATGTTTTTATCAGCTGTTTGGACTCTCATTCTGACGGCACCCATTCACTGCAGAGCATCCATTGCTGAGACACTGATGTAATTTCTCCAAATCTGATGAAGACATAAACTCATCTACATCTTGGATGACCTGAGGGTGAGTAGATTATCAGCAAATTTTCATTTTGAGGTGAACTATTTCTTTAACATCAGTCTTTATAATTAAACCAAATATTGAACACATTTCTTCACAAAGGTCTTGATCTGATATCTGGCACCTCTCTAAAGTATCTGGTAGTGTGTTTGGGTGAAGTGGATTCAAGCTACGGTGACTCAACGGTGCTCACAGAAACAGAATCATGCAACATTCCGTATGGAATATGAGGCGCTACGTTTCCTAACAATTCAAACCGTTCCATTCCAGCGGAACCAAAACATTCCAGACAATGTGAAAATAATGTCCATTTTTGGAGCGTTTTTTAATGCGAAGAGCCAAAAGGAAATGAGACATTTTGCTACAACAATGTGAAGTCTGTCAGATGAAACAACAAAAGTTCATTGATCCCTCACCAAATTCTATACACAACATCAACAGTCGAGTCTGCATAGAACATCAAATAACCTCCTGTTCAATGGTATTAGTACGAAAAATAGTCTGCGTTTTGTTTATACCCGACCTGTATCTTGACTAAGAATAGATCATTTGGATTCAAGAAAATGGAATTATTTAACAAAACTTGCAACTGCATTAATTGATCCTGTCAAAAAAAAAATAAAAAAATAAAAATAAATTATATATATAATAATAATAATATCCTGAAGAAGGAAACAGTGATAGGCGCGCACACACACACACACATACACACACACAGTATATATAATTATTATTATAATTTTTTCTTTGTTAATAGAACTAAAATTTTTAACCAAAATGGTGACATTTCGAATAAAACAAAAAAAACAAACAAAAAAAAGTCAATAATAACGAGAACCAATCCAAACACTTTTAAAAAATGTAAAAATAAGGCACAAAGGTGATTTATTACTATTTTTTTAAAGAAGTGCTGTAGTTTTGGGTCAGAAACATTCGGACCTACAGGAAAGACAGGCCACTATGTACCCAGTCATACACATTATACCATTCACAGTACGTCTTCGTGGTCGTGAGCTTCCTTCAAATATATTCTAGAGCATTCAACAACATTCGATCGATCCTAGAGCTGCATCGAACTATTTACATCTATACTGTCTGGTATACCCCTTGCAGACGAATGGGGCGGTAGGTAGTTTTCACGGATATGTTTGTTTGAGGACATGCGTCTAAATCTGGCCCAAAACAACAGCACAGTCTCAGCAGAGAACGAGAGGGACGTGACATCCTTGCTGCTGAGATTTGAGCAGGAAAAACGCATGGTCAGTTTGGAAGACTTGCATGAGGAATCCGACGCACCGGAGTAGAAATAACCTGCATAGCATTTCCTTGTGAGGGCTTTTAAATAGAGATGTCAAGTCATTTGATTTCACTTCTGCTTTTTGGAAGCGGTCACAAAACGCAATTCACAGTTCCAGGATCCGCTGTCCCTTTTTCACTTCCATCGGTCTGCAAACCTGTAGAGAGAGCACAACAAGAGAAACAGTTACTCAGCCATACACAGCCATTCCCTATAGAAGAGCTTTTCCAACACTTCAAAAAAAATCACGCTTTGATAAATCAAAATCCTAAAAATTCAATCATGACATGCTAAGTCATAATTCTAAAACAAAACGTCGAAATTATGACATAAAAAGTAGAAACTCTTTAATGTAATATAATTTTGACTTATAATTATTTGACGTTATAATTATTACTTCGAATATCATAATTTCATATTTTTATGTCATAATTTTTATGTTTAAGTCAAAATTATTACTTTTTAGGTCGTAATTACTATATGAATTTTTATGTTATAATTTTAACTTTATGACAAAAAGTCCATCTTATATTTCGACTTGTTATAATTTTGACATTTTAGATGATAATTTTTTATTTCTTATAATTATGACTTTTGTCTCTCATAATTGCTACTTTTTATCATAACTATGACTTTTTAGGTTGTAATTATTGCATAGTATCTCATAATTCGAATTTATGCCATTATTTTGACTTTTTTATCTCATGATTTTACCTTTAAGTCATTTTTTAAAGTTGCAATTATCACTTAAAATCTCATTAACTTGACTTTTTATGTCATAATTATTATGTTTTAATCTCATAATTTTAACTTGTGTCAAAATGGACTTTTATATCCCATAATTGCTACTTATCTTAATTATTACTTTTTAGGTCGTAATTACTATATGACTTTTTGTATCATAATTTTAACTTTTAGTCATACTTATGACAAAAAGTCCATCTTATATTTCGACGTGTTATAATTTGGATTTTTTTAGATTATCATTTTATATTTCTCATAATTATGAGTTTTATGTCTCATAATTGTTACTTGTCTTAATTATGACATCTCATAATTTCTACTTTGTCACAATTATGACTTTTTAGGTTGTAATTATTACTTAGTATCTCATAATTCAAATGTATGCCATCATTTTGCCTTTTTTATCTCATAATTTTACCTTTTAAGTCCCTATTTTTTATTTTTAGGTTGTATTTATCACTTAATATCACATTAACTTGACACATTAATTTTGTCTCATTTATCTCATAATTGTAACTTTTTATGTCATAATTATTGTTTTAATCTCATAATTTTAATTTGTGTCAAAATTGACTTTTATATCCCATAATTGCTACTTATCTTAATTATGACTTTTATATCTCATCATCTATCATTTCTTTGTCATAATTATGAATTTTTAGGTTGTAATTAGAAATTAGTATCTCATAATTTAGACTTGTGTCATAATTTAGTCTGTTTTTAATGTCATAATTTTACCTTTAAAGTCACAATTTTCAAAAAAGGTCGTAATTATCCCTTAGTATCTCAATTTAGATTTTTACGATCCTTTTTTTATCTCAAAACTTTTTATGTCATAGTCACGACTTTTCTATCTCATAATTTCAACTTCTTATATGATCCACGCTCAAGCATACGTTGAAAGGCGTGCATGCTCAGCTGCGTGCGAGACAGACCAGAACTATACAAATGCAATAGTTACATTTAGAAAGCATCATGAATAACTTATTTGAAAACACAATAATTCAGTGAGTCAGTGCGTGACAGGTTAATAGAGAAAAATAAACACACTAGACAGAGCCACACTCATCGTTTACACATGGACACGTTTAAACGCGCGTCAGCTGGTTATTGATCACAGCTGCGATCTGACCTGAACACAATAACAGCGAGGTGCTGATGGAGGTGTGATCGGAGTCAGCAGAATCCCACCACAGTAGCTGAGGTCAATATAAAGCAGCAGAGTAACTGCATGCGGGCTTCCTTCACCACATAACAAACCTGAGAGTGTTTCTATGATGAGCCCATATTCCTGATTTATATATTCTACTCAAACACACTCTAATCACAGGCTACATGCCTTGTTGTTCTGCTGGTAATTGTAATCTGAGGTCCATGTGTCGGACAGCTGGCCAGTAAATGATTTACTGATGCAACATCAGATCCGTTCAACATCCTCGGCCAACTGTGGCTGTAAGCAATCCAATAATGCCATCTCTCCAATAGTTTTTCTGAGTTTGCCCTGATCAAATGTACTTTACAGTGATATTTCTCACAGAAGGACTACATAAAATCAGATAAATAGACGCCTTTAGCCTGTTATTGAGACACACTGAAATAAAATGGTGTAGGATTTAGTTGGAAACAACTTTCACACAGAAATTGCTAA